TATGACATAATATTAATGTGTATGCAGTATAATGCTGTGAGTTGTAACACTACAGTACAGTAATTAACTGTAAACAGTTTCCAGTTAGTTACCACTACTGCTCTATTACAGTAATTAACTGGCAACACTGTTGCCAGCTACTCACTGTATTGGTTCAGTTACAGTAAATAACTGGCAACACTGTTGCCAGCCACTCACTGTAATGGTTCAGTTACAGTAATTAAATGGCAACACTGTTGCCAGTTACTTACTGTAACCAAACTTTTACAGTGAGTAACTGGCAACAGTGTTGCCAGTATTCTACTGTAAAAATGCCCGGTAAGGTCTAACAGTATATATATATATATATATATATATATATATATATATATATATATTTACATATTATTTTTTATTAGTAATAGTTAATTTGTTTCTATTGTAAATTTTGGTTTAAAAACAATATATTGCTTATCTTAAATTAAATTATCTTAAATTAAAAAGTTATTAGAAAATTAAGCATATACACACTTTTTAAATCGCTTTTGAGTAAAATATTAGTGTTATACATTTGTTACATGTAAAAAGAATTTTATTACATATAAAATGTATTATTACCTATATTAACTTGCTATTATTTCCTTCATTATAAATAAATCCATTATATAAATTAAACCTGTCCAATTAAGATCGTTTAGCAAGGCCAGCAATAGAGTATCTGCTAAAATGATTCTGTCAGATAATAATGACTGATCATCTATGATGACTGATAGAAAACTGTTCAGTCTACTATATTGAATGGCAATCGGAAACACCCATTCGCCCGTCTCGATCACAATATTTGTGAAATAAAGTAAACACTATTGTTTATTGTGTACAATGTTTATTAATCATATATATCAAAATATATTGATGACGATGTCCAAAAAGACGTTAATAACATCCGTCGTAACCATATCTGGTTTGCCTAGATTGTGTGTGATTGCGGATATTATTGGTGGCATGATGTGATAGAAGTATTCTTAAAAAAACTGACAAAATTGTATTTTTAAACGATTATTAATATGTGGATTATGTTTTTGTATATTTGTCAGATTCAGAACCCGTCTTGGCTAAGCGGCAGCAGTTCGGCCTCTCCAGTGCCAGGCTGTGTGGTACCTTGTGATACTGTTTCTTCCTGCATGACTCCTCATCCTCACTCTGCCAGCGGCGTGTCTGATTTCCTCGGTATGCCAAGTCCAGGTGGCAGCATGGCGCAGACACACATGGGCAGTCTTTTTGGGAGCTCAGGAGTAGGTGGAACCATTAACGGTTATGATCTCAGCGTCGAGCCCGATCGCAAATCCTCCAGCATCGCCAGCCTGCGCATGAAGGCGAAGGAGCACAGCGCCGCCATCTCTTGGGCAACATGATGCCTTCATCTGGGAAACAGAAGAACCAGATAACCTCAGCCCCAAGCCGTCAGCACTAATGAGGTGAAAGTTTATGGCATCTGGAGCCAATATGGACATGAGAAATGGAGGCTGGAAGCTTTAAAACACTTGTAGGAGATTTAATATTAAGGTTCTGTAAAGGAAGTGGATTGTGCAGTGGGACATTGTGCTAGAATAAGAGGAAACTGATGGGCCAGTTTGAACAGAGAGATGTTTGGTTAAAATAACTTTTTATGTAACATTAAAAAAAAAAAATCTATATGCACTATTTTCCCCTATTATTCATAGACATTTGCACTGCCATTTAAAGAAAAACAAGGTTGCATTTATTTAATCAAAAGAATACAAACATTGAAGCTTTATAAATATATCCAATGGATCCTTGGTTAATACAGATCTTGACCTGTAGTAGTGACCTTTACTGACCCCAAATGGTAGATATCCTAAAGAAGAATATATTCTAGGGCTGCACGATATTGGAAAAATTTGATATTGTGATTTTTTATTGTTCTGCGATAAATAATGCGATATGAAAATCTGATGCTTTAGAAAATAGCACTAAATAAATAGCACTATTTGACAGCTTTCTGGGGAGTAATTGAGCAAATGAATGATCACAATACAACAATAAATACTTGTCTTACTTTGTTTTGACTTGTTTCAAGTTCAAATGTCCAAAAAAAAAACAACTTAAGTAAAAATATTTGTTTGTTTTTTAACTTGTTCTAAGGAAACTATCTGCCTGTGAGATAAGTGAAATAATCTTGCTGAAAATAACAAGACAAAAATTTTACGTAAGAAATGATACATATAATGATACAATTGTGTGGCTCCTTGTCAACTGTAATTTGGACTGGACATTTTATATCTTTGCGATGTGACTATTACGAATGTGCACATTGCGATATCATTGTTGAAATTATGTATTGTGCAGCCCTAATATTTAGTATAAAAATTTTTTTCAAACAGATTTCAAATTACATTAAGTTATGACAGATTTTTTAAAGTGTTTTTTTTTAGCAGTGCCTCTCTACTGTTTGGGCAGATTTGGCCATTATTTTTTCATTGTAACAAAGTATCAGGACACTCTGTATTGGGTTTAAGATTTAAATGATCTTTTTGTTTTTTGTTACAACAGCTTTAGAAATACAGCTCTTTTTTTGCAGTCTTAGAGAGAAACATATTCTGGAAAATATATAGTTAAAGTAAAAGTAAAGTAAAAGTGTTGAAAATCATCTCTCTATTAAACAGAAATCGGGGAAAAAATAAACAGGGGGGCTAATAATTCAGGGGGATTAATAATTCAGGGGGGGGGGGGGGGGGGGTTAATAGTTCTGACTTCATCTGTATTTTAAATCAAAATTACTATGTTTGAAATTATACTTATTTCAGCAATAATTTGTGTTTAAATTCAAGTCTTATTAACAAATTTTGAAGTTTAAAAGTAAATTTTCACATCATTGTGTAAAAAAATAATTTGTCCAGCACAGAAACAGCACCAGATGGCAGTATCTAAACATGATGTGTATGATCAAAGTCCCAAAATTGGACATTATCGATAAAAAAGCAAATTTGCACTTATCTCAAAAGAGTTATCGGAATGAAACACCTGTGCAGCACTGGTCAGTTCTTGATTTAGCTCAGGCATAAAGAGTTAGTTCACCTAAAATAGAAATCATTTACTTACCCTCCACTTGTTCCAAACCTGTTTGAGTTTTATTCTTCTGTTGGACACAAAATGTTGGAAACCAGTAGCAATTAAATTCCAGTGACATTTGTTTTTCCTGTTATGGAGCCAATGGTTACAGGTTTCCAACATTGTTCAAAATATCTCATTTTGTGTCCGACAAAAAAAGAAAAAGAAAAAAGAAAACCATAAAGCTTTGGAGGAATCTGAGGTAAAGGAAATGATGAGTAATTGTTTCTTTCAAAGTGAACTATCACTCTAAGAAGGCGTCTTTAGCATCACTTCTTAATCAGTATTTCAGTCAGGATGGAGCAGAACATAGAGTCATAAAACATAAGAAGAACTTGCTCTCCTCCCAAAGTTGGTCATTGAAAGCACACCTAATAGATTCAAATAGGATGACGGCGACAATATTGGATAGTGAGGCTCCAGGTTTGGTTCACACAGACTGTCCAACTCAAGCTCCAGAAATACTGCCTTTAATCACCCACATTCTCGAAATCAGAGCTAATAGGACATTGTTTCCAGATAAATGCTGGAATGCTGTGTTTGTTTTGTGTTAGCGGGACACAGCTATATCAGCTGGAACATAACTTCATTCATTTCCTGGCTTTTTTTTTGCAGCAGCAGCAGCATTAGGACCATATCATGAAGTGTGAGAAAATGCCGTTTGTTTGGTGGCTGTAGAGTTTCATAGCAAATAAAGTGCTACAAACGGTTTCATTTTTTTGTCCTTGTTTTATTGGATGTCAAGAAAGGTTCTAACTTTTTGACTAAATTGATTTGTAATTTGTCTATTTTTGTAGGCTCCTTTTAAACAGGGCAAACAGTATATATTATGGTTAACTGAGTTAGTAAATCAAGCTTCCTAATTGAGATTAACTTTGTTTACTGTTCAAAAACAAATATGGCAAAATGTTTTAACATTTAATGTCAACATTTATTTTGTATATTTTTATGCTACTCATGTTTAGATACTAGAATGTTTTATATTAAATACTAAATTTCTTTATTAGTTTCTTTATTTTTATTATTATTATTATTATTATTATTATTATTATTATTATTATTATTATTAAAATATACTACCTGTACTCATTTGGTAGATACTAGTTCTTATTTAGTAGTACTTTTTATGAACTTATTGTACCTAATACATAGACACTATAATTCATTATATACAATATCCTATTTACTAGTACTTATTAATTAGTTAATATAGTACTTACTAGGGCGACACAGTGGTACATTAGGTGGTGCTGTCACCGCACAGCAAAAAGGTCGCTAGTTCGAGCCTCGGCTGGGTTGGTTGGTGTTTCTGTGTGGAGTTTGCATGTTCTCTCTGCCTTGGTGTGTGTTTCCTCCGGGTGCTCCGGTTTCCCCCACAGTCCAAAGACATGCGGTACAGGTGAATTGGATAGGCTAAATTGTCCGTAGTGTATGGGTGTGAGTGAGTGTGTGTGGATGTTACCCAGTGATGGGCTGCGGCTGGAAGGGTATACGCTGCGTAAAACATGTGCTGGATAAGTTGGCGGTTCATTCCGTTGTGATGACCCCGGATTAATAAAGGGACTAGACTTAAAGAAAATGAATAAATTAATGAATAGTAGTTACTATTAGATTTTAGTACTGTAATAGTGTATCCAGTTAGCAAGTATCTAAAACTAAATATTCAATTAATAAATACTAGTATGAACAAGTACTAGTATAAACAAAATAGGATGAACAGTAATGAATAAGAAAAAAAAATAGCTTAAACAGCTATTAGGTAATAGTTGAATGAGTACTATAATGTAATAAATAAGTTCTGGTATCTTATTATAAATAATAGTAATTACTAATATCTATTTAGAAGCTATTATGCAATGAGTTACTATGAAAAAAAAAACCTAAATTGAAAAAAAGATAAACTCTTAGGGGGGGAATTTTTCTACATAACATCAGCAGAACTTTTTTTCATAGATTTCATAGAGAATCTTGAACCTTGAAAGTAATACTGAGGACATAATTTTTTTAAACATTTAATATTGTAATTTATTATTACTATAAAGACATTTATTTCATTAATAGTATTATAGTAGTATTACCATCAATTTTATTCATTAATATACTGTTATAGTCAGAATTATTAGCCCCCTTTGAATTTTTCTATGTAGAAGAAGCATCTTCAACTGAACGGAGCTGTTCACACCTGCTATTAAACTAAAAATACAAACATTTAAAAAAATAAATAATTGACCTGTTGAGAGTCTGTTGATAGTTAGTTTGAGACTCAGATAACCTGCTATGAGAGCATTTGTTAGTTATCAATTTGAAAAATAAAATGGCGAGAAATAGTCAGAAATAAACTTGCATAAATAAACATTTAAGCATAAAAATCTTCAGGACATTACGGTTCAAAATAAAAGTGTTACAAAATTAAAAAAAATAATAAATAAATAAATAAATAAATAAAAATAATATTTAATAATAATAATAATAATATTATTATTATTATAATTATTATATAATATATTAATTATATATAAATATAATAATTATTATTATATAATATTATATATATAAAAATTAAGAACAATCTGTTTGGCTAGTGTCAAGGTTTAAATAAACAAGTGCTAATACTTTAATAAACACATTTTACAAATCACCTGGCGTTTTATCATTTTTTAATCAATTCAGCGGATCTTTAAGTTTGGCTTACGCACTTTAGCTTAACATGGATTATTGAATAAAATTAGACTGAATAAAAATTGAATAACATTAAATGAAGAATTTGAATAATTATGCAATTTAAAGTTTGACTCTTCTATAGTTACGTTGTGTACCAAGACTCATAGAAAATGAAAAGTTGCTATTTCCTGATAAAGGAATTTATGCTAAACTAAGGAGCTAAGCTAAAAGAGCTCCTGCCAGACCCAGGGATCAGGTGAATAGATAAAAAAAATGGTAAAACTCGACTATTTAATTCCAGAGTTGTAATATATATATATATATATATATATATATATATATATATATATATGAAGTATCCAAGTAGTAGCATGAAAATAGATAGTATGTTTTTAATAAAATGTTAAGACTACTTGCCAACATTCGTTTTTCCACTTGTTGGAGACAATGCAAGAAATAAGGTTCATTATTGTTTGTTGTCTGCAGCATTGTTCCACTGTTTCTCTATATATTCCTCAGTTTAAATACTACTGAGACCTGCAGTTAAAATGTAAATGTTCATCCATTCTTTATGTTTGTACAGCATGCACTTTGGCTATTGCAGTGATTTGCTTATATCCGTCTAAGTTTAATAAATGATATTGATTTGGTTGTTTTTCCTCATTACAGAACTAATTGTCTTTTCTAAATTTGTCATTAAATTTTATTCGAAAAAGACTTAAGTTTTGAACTTTGTTATGAAAATTATATATTAGTATATATATTGTGATATTGCATTTATACAACAGTTTGATGGCATAATCGTGTATATAAAAAAGAAAATCAAACATGGAGAGTCTCAAAATCCATTTGTATGAGGAACTACTTTCTTCCGCCATTCCTTCACATCTGCAGATGACGTCAGAACAGCAGAAGCCACTGTGCTACTGTGCTGTGCTACTTCACAATTGTCTAGCGTGGCATTATAAGATGGCATTATAAGATTATAAGGCTAAACGGAATGAAATGCCATAAGTGGAAAATACTACCAGATTACTGTTGTGTTTGTAATCAGGAAAACGCTATGGGGTGTATCATGTGGACATTTCTTCTTTCTTTCTGTTTGTTGAACTAATCTGCAGTAACAAAAACAGGAGACTCATTAGAAACAGATGGGCAACCAAAAAGTAATTCAGGGTTATACAAATAGTGGCCAACCCAAAATACCTCTTACCATCCCAAACTATCTCACACTCAATACCATTACGATGAAATAAATACAGCACTACAAAATACAATAGAGATTTACT